GGTAGCTTCCCCTGCGCCAGCCACAGTTTCTTGGTCTCTGCCTGACCTGAAATCCTAGCATAACTGGAATATAGCACTGTCCTCTGTGATAGGTGAGGTGAACGATTCATATCTCGCAAGCAGAGAGAGCACCCTGTGCTACAGGACGGTATAACATTATATTTATTTAGTAACATGGTGCTTCTGGCTTGGGCTGGAGTATTTTAGGGCCTTGCTAGTGTGGAAATTTTTAGGCAACTGGAATTGGCTTCCTGTCAGCAGAACTGACCTCAGGGAAAACTCAGTCCGTGTCTAGTGTGCTGAGGTGCTTCTGCAATGCAGGGAATAAGCATCTTGTGTGGCAGCATGTGTTGATGATGGGCTTAATTTTAAACATACATTTGTGTTATATTATTTTGGACTTGTCTTTTTCCCAGCCTGGTTGCCAAGTGGATAAACAGAATCTCTTTAAAATGTCACCCCTTTTTGTCTGCTTTTAGTACACTAAATATGATATCCTACCATCTTTTCCTTTAAAATAACTGAGTTTGATTTTCAATTTCTCATCCTCGTTCCCTCTAGGAAAATCTCTTTAGGTTATTTCTCTTAGATCTTTTCCTCACTTTCAGAAACAAGATCTCGAAGGCATGTGATGTACTCCTTCTGTTTGTCAAATATGAATCATCCATTTCACCACCACAAAGGATGTTGTCCTTGTAGTTTGTTTTCTGTGTTTCTGTGCAGGCTACCTCCCAATAAGTTGCTTTTTCCTCTTCATGGGATGTCTGTCCCATCTCTTGTTACCTGTCCCTCAGTCATTTATATATACTGTAGGATTTGTACAGTACATTGTGACATTTCAGTTGCTGAAGCAGATCCAACGTTTCATCATTAAATTTCCCACCAGCCATAAATGTCTTGCAGCAGCAAAAGGAAACCATACCTTAAGATGTTCACCCAATAGGAAATCTTTGCCAATTTTTTGCTATTATAGCCTTAAGCCTTTCCTCACAAGAAGCAAATGCCTCGTGTTAATGCAGCCGCGTTGTCTGACTAGTACTGGTAGCCAACAAGAATTCCTACTCCCACACATCGTAAGCATTGTTTCCCTGTTCAGATTTGGATTACAACCAAGTAGCAAATTACAAGTTAACTAGCCTTTAAATTGAGCATTAACAAAAGTAGATGCCTCTTCTGAATATTGTAGGGTGCTGAGCATAGCAATTTGAAGCCAAACATTGGGAAGGGGAATGATGAAACCCTTGCCTCCAAAGTCCTATAGATTTTGGTAGCTCAAAGTTAGCTGCCTGCATTGTCAGTGAGTGGAGGGTTACGGGTGACAGGAATGGCAGTCTGGTTATTTTGTCATCTGCTGAAAGAGGGGATGGTCCTGCTGCTAGGTAAAGAAGATGACTATGAGGAAGAGGAAAGAGAGGGAAACCAGAGAAAGCTGCTTATGACACTGAACAGTGTTTTGACCTCAGTATTTGAACTCAGATCTAAGTAATTTACTATGACAATGAAATCCTCTTGCGAACTATTCCCGTGACTCTCTATCGAGCTCCCTGCCCTGGATTTCTCAGTGAAACAGAGAAAAATCCCTTCTCCTAGTACAGAAACGTCCCAGCCCCTCTCTCAAACTGCACTCGCTTGCATGCGCAGCAGTTCAACTCACCAATGTAGAACAAGAAGGTCCACCGCACGAAGGCCATAATGAGGATGCCAGCGCTGAAGGATACCATTCCAATCATGATAATTGTAGTATCCCTTAAATACTTAGAGAACACAAATACCCCTAGGAAGCTGGTGACGAAGATCACATACCCAGCAGCATTGCCATGGCCAATCTCCACAGGGTTCCAGCTTAAGGGCTCCTTGAGCAAGAAGAGTGGGAGCACGTTCATTGCACCAACCACCGCAAGGTCATACAGGATCGCCCCAACAAAGAGCATGACAATGATAAGTTTTGAGGGTGCTACTGGAGTAAGGTTGCTGCTTTCAGAAGAGTGGGAATTTCTTGCGGCTCCTGTACCGACTGGCAGCTGGCTACCGCCGTCCCCCGTGCTCTTGGCTTTGGCTGGGCAGGGAGCTGCTGGCTTGGGGACTTTCAGGACAAAAATACTGTAGAGGAGACAGAAAGCATAGCAAGCAATGCTGCAGCCCACTAGCACCGTGCCCTCTCGATAGTGGTCACTGAATCCAACAAAGAGGTACCCTGATACCATGCTTCCCAGGAAGCCGGCTAGGCCGTACACCAGCTCAATAACTATAAGTCGCAGAGACCTCCTGCTCTCAGAGGAGCCCAAGGATCCCAGAGCCATGATGCCTGCCCAGAGTGTGGTGAAACCGCCTGTCAGCCCATTGAAAGCAGCAGCCCCATACATCACCTCGATTGGCCAATCCAGCAGGATCAAGAGGAGCAGGAGAGATTTGGAGCCCAAGTAGCCAAAAAGAGGGAAGGAGATAGGGATCTTCCGGTGCACCTTGTCCCCAAGCTTAGACAAGCCGTAGGCTGATGCCAGCGGGCTCAGGCCCAGGACTAGGTTGTAGATGATATAGAAATTAGAGACGGCCTTCTGCTGAGCATCTTGCAGGGAGTGAGAAGGAGAGGTCGAGTTGGTTTGGTTGTAGTAGTTCTTCACCACCACCAGCAGCCCTGTGTCGTAGAAGGCACTGGCCACCTGGGAGCCAGCAACCACTGGCTCAATCCATGTCCTCATTGCTGCTATCCCCACCATGGTAGCTGATGACTCTTCTGAAGAGAAGAGAGGAGAGCTGTTTTCAGGAAGATATGCTGCAGGAAATGCCCTTTCAGAAGCTCTGCTCTGTAGACATGTTTGAAGTGGAGCAGTGGAGGGGAAAGAAAAAAAAAAAAAGAGAGAGAAAAGATCTGCCAGATAGCACAGAATCAGAGAACTGTGCAAGAGAAAACCTGGCTGGGAGGGTATCTGCACAGCACCTTGCTATATCTGTGCACACACGCACATCCCCGCACTGCTCTGATCTCTGGCTCATACAAGAGAGGCTTTTGTACAGATAGAGAACGCCCTGCACTGGCTCACTGCTGTTGCTGATCTTCCTGGTATAGTTTCAAAAGAGGTCATATGACCCAGGGGAATTTCTCTCTCCCAGTTTAGGAAGTGAAAATGCCCTGATCATGTAGTTGCTACAATTATCTTTTTTTCCTTTTGGAGGACTTTCAGGGAAGCAAGACTCACACCTCGATGTGGGGGTGGGGAAAGGCTGTCTGTTTATTTAGTAGGTAATTCATGAATTCCCCCTGCCTCCAGGCCTTTTTCCTTTCTTCACGGTACTGCTTGCTCTTTCTATCTTACCTGCTCCTTTCTGCACTATTGCTAAATCTCACCCCTTCTGTCACTGTTATTTCAATAATGCAATCAGGAAATTACACCAAAAAGAAATGAGAAAAAGCCTACTTTTAGCCCACAGCTGCCCTTCCATGTGCTTGTGTCTCTGGACTTTACAATTTGGGAATTTCCAAGAGGAGGAGAAAAGCTCTAATTTATACACTGGAATTGGCTTCCTCCGTGCCTGAATAAGCGATGAGTGGAGTGGAGTGGGAAGCCAGGGTGAGTAAACAGCCGCCTTGTGGAAACTATATTGGTCACATCTCCTCAGGGCGGTAGCGGGAAGCAGGATGCGCGCTGCCACGTGCTGCCCATGCAGCCGCGTGGGTTTGCAGGCACTGACGCCCCAAGCGCGCTCACAGCGTTTTCACGTCATCCCCTGCCTCTCGCGTTCCCGAGGCTGGTGCTGCCTGCTCAGCACAAGGACTCGGGCTCCTGCGGGCTCCTGGTGCGGGGGACCGTGCTCGTCCTGTGTCTGCTCCTCTCCTTCAAGATATCTACTGCCTCTTTGGTGGTCCGGAGGGGCTGAAGGCAGCTTTCACTGGAGACCTTTCCCTGCCCTCCCCACATTTCTCCTTAAGCTCAGCAGAACCTCTGTGCTTATCTGGAAACTTGCCCAGGGGGGAAGACACCCTTTTTCAGCATATGAAGTTTCTAAGCAACATAGTGGGAAAATGGGACCAAGCGTGCTGCGGTCCAGTACTCAGTTTGCTGAAGGGGTTGCCTGCCACAGTAGGAGTTTCTTGGAGACAGAACACTCAGTTTATGTTATGAATTCTTGAATATATGATTTGTTTGGTTCAGATACCATGGGGGTATGAAAGAATACTAGATCAATGTTAACTTGCACTACATTTATGGTCTTAATCCCGTATTGGTTGATTATAGGAGGCCACAATGTAGTTGTTGGTGTTGTCTGCCTCTGAAACACGGGAGACTGGCCTCACGTGCAGACAGCGTGTACACAGGATGTCGTTCCCCTAAGCGTTAAAACTATGGGTTGCCTGCTTGGTGTCCCATCCTGTGCTTGGGGCTAATCCAGTCACAGCGTCCAAGAGATTTTCTTTCTCCCAGGTCTACCTCACCATTTGACTGCTTCCCGCAGCACCCTATGCTTAGAAAGGATAATGGTGCTTTTTATGTGATGATTTGGGAGATTTACAGCTTTACCACAGTTCCTGAGAATCCTGGGCCCTGTTCTCCTGTGGCTCTTGGTCTTTTACTGTGCAGCTTCAGCATGAGGAAGCGTTTTGCAGCTGGCAGGGTGCTTGACCCCTTCTAATCCTATCCCCTTTTTCTCACCTAGGGTGACTACATGCTTACCTATTTCCATGCTTAGGATTTGCAAAATATATTTAAGGACATGGAAAGCAGCAGGGAGTCGCTATGTTGAAATTGGTCTCTTCCTCTCTGCTGGAAGCAGAACTTGCTCGGATGGTGGAAACCACTGTGTCTATATATGAGGCCTGGTAACCTCTCATAAAGCTTGATGTTGCTGTAGCTGGATCTGCCTCTGCTGTTGCACCAGAAATACCCTCTGGAGAGACAGTTGGTGCTTTTGGCTATGCCCGTTCCAAAGGTCTTGCAAATGTCCAAGTCAGCCTTCAATGTAGCTGCAAGGTCTGAGGTCCAAGGGGGCCAAGTGAAGCAACACCCACAAACGGATTGGAGTCCCCATCAGATGACAGAACCAGCTGCAGGGAGGTTGATCTCATTACTCAGAGGCACCAGAAACTATCTGAGCAGGGTTTGGCGCAAACGGGCAGTCAGGTCTGAGAAAGTTATTTGCATTCCCAGCTGCAGGAAATACTTGGAGGATATCTGGCAGCCTCAAAAATGCTAACTCAAATGGTAATGATCTCATTCTGCACTAGTTTAATGAATCATAGTAGGCATAGTAACATAATCTGCTATAGGAAGATTTATGATGATTACTTTATAGTACGAATTAATAATTAATTTAGAAGAACAATGTTAAAACCTCCAACTGCTGTACTTTATATTGATTCAGGTGACATTTACTCAATGCTTGTATATTCATGGGTGAAGAGTTTCTTTTTTTTTTCCCCTTCTAGCTCAATTGTACAGGGTTTTTTTTGTTGTTTTACATTTCAATTTGGGAAAAAATCCCAAGAACTCACATGGAAAGGAGTAGGGACTTATCTGCTAGAACGATTTGTTGCTAGATAATTTCAGTTACGCCAGAGGTTTTGATTTTCTGCCAGGCCAAAAGACTATTAGCCAACTGTAAAATTTAATTTGGGTTGTTCCAACTGGTTGGATTTTATTTTTTCTGAAAAAGGTGTTTAGTTTGTTTAGTTTTTGTTTAGAAGTAGGACAAAGCTATTCCTCTGAAACTTGGAATATTTCCACAGGATGGAAATTCCAGAAAGCCTTGTGAAAAAACCCAAAGCATCATCAGCCTTGTGAACAGTTCAGGCAATAAAAGCAACCAGAGGAATTGCCACGTTTTCCTTCGCCTAGTGAGCCTGGTCTCTTCTACCAACCATTAGAGAGAAAGATAAATGTCTTTGTCCCCTTCTAGCTTTGATTTGGGACATAGGTTATCTTGGAGTGCAGAGGTATGTTACAGAGCTCGAGGGACTGCAAATCTGCTCAGCTGCTACAAACAGGGTGTTTTTCCTTCCACCCTTTCTTGCATGTACAGATTGCCTGGCTTATTCATCTAATATTCTTGAGATTTAGGTAATGCTTGTGTCATGGTCAATGCTATCTATTCGGGCCTATATAGCTAGTGGACTGTGCTAAATACCACTAATGAGCTCACGGATTATATATATATTTTCAGGGATATTCTGAGTGTTCACTCAAATGTACTTTTTAGAAATAATTCTCATGGAAGGAAATAATTTCATGTAAGTAATTGCAAAACAAGTGAGTCCTAAAGTAAGGGTTTAACACAGGCTCCAGAATATTTTCCTAGGTAAAATACTTTGCATGAATACCATACTCGTTTTGATGCCAAGAAGACTTCAAAATTACTCTTCTGTAATATCAGCTTTTCCCTAGGGCCCAGTTCTCATTGAACTAATATTTATAAAGACATTTGCATATACTTTAAAACACATTTATGCAGCATAAACACAATGGAGCCTTAAGAGCAGTGACTCTTGACATTTAATAATAATGCACCTACAGAACTACTGAGAATACCTAAAAGCAATAGCACAGTGGCATAGCCTGCTGGAGAAGGAAAACGCTCTTTCAGGGCATCCCACTGTAGACTTATCCTGTCTGCAGACCTTCTAGAGGCCAGGTCAGCTCCATGTTGCATCAGCTGCTGGATATTTGTCAGTCTGGCCAGTCAAATAATAGCTGTTTAATGTCTCCTTGTGGAGACGTTATGCATTCCTATGCAGTATTGCTATTGTTTTTAACTTCACCATTTATGACAGTTACATCACCTTTTATTTCTGAATAAGTTTGTGGTGGTAGGGATATCCATATGCTGGAGCAGCCAGGCTTGGCAGGCACCAGCATTTTAGAGCTCAGTCTTCAACAACTTTGCTTCTGGAAAGGTGCCATTTTGGCACCCAGGAGCTGCAGTCCAACACAAGCTTACAAGCCCTCCTCGTTCCCTGTGCCCAAATCTGCCCACGGGATTCAGGATTTACAGTCTGAGGCGGTTGCAGCCTCCCGCTGGCAAGATGTTTTGTCCACAAAGCTGTAAATCAGCTCTGTGACCTCCCCTTCTCTCCACCTCCCCAACAGTGTGATGGGATCCCTAGCACTTTCCACCTGTTGGCAGCTCCACCGATGGTGCGGGGACTCAGCATTGGTGCACGGGGGTGGCACTGCTGTCCCCCTGCCCCAGCTGCAACAGCATCCGTGGTGGTCCCGGGAGATCAGAAGCTGGAGAAGTTCCTGCAGCAGTCTGGCATACAAACTGCTGGCATGTGGCAAGGATGCTGGGTCCTCTCACCTCATCTCCCATTGCTTGGCTATAATCTGAAAAGGTAAGTTCTGGGATGCGCTCGTTCACAGTTTACTCCACATACCGATATCTCTTGGCACGCACTGAGTATTTTGACACCGGTTGCAACTTCACAGTGGCAAGGAGGTGAAACACAACTGTGAACTGGGTAGCACCCAGATCTGAGTCTAGGTAGAGCGGTATTGGCATTATAGTACCTGAGACAAGGAGAGCTGACTGAAAACACTGGGGAGAAGAAAGAGCTGTTTCAGTAATGGCCTATTTTCCTTAGGAAAATATTTCTTCATCACAAATGACCACAGGTTGTGAAGCCAAGCCGTGCTCTTCCTGTCTGTGGTTTGGCAGGCTGATTTCTTAAGCAGTCACAACCTCCCGGCAGAAATAGGCGCCAATTCCCACTTTTTCCCCATTGCTCAACAGAGACCAGAGTCTGCTTTTTATGGGACCCAAAGAAAGCTGGTTAGTGAAATCTCAGTACTGCAATTAGTTATTGCCCCATCTTAGCAGGGGGAACTGGGAGAAGGCTCTTCTGAAAAAGTGCAGTCAGGTCCCTTTGAATATCTTTGAACTCTGCAGCTGCTGCCACTCACAGAGATGAGGAAGACGGGAGGAGAAGCTGGAGGCTGCACTATAAACCAGGTACATGAGGGAGGAGTTGTTCCCACCAGCCACCTGCCTCATCACAGGGGTTAT